TTTACGGTAGCACAGTTTAACGAGGACCAATACCGCACACCCTCGGTCCCTACGCAGACTGATCCAAGTGGTCACCCACCAGCACACTGACCGCAGTCAGTGATGCTTGACTTCGGTGATCTGCTGGGAACCGTGTCTTATCGATCAGTCCACTGCGGGACCTACAGGTATTATCAAACTTGTCCCAGTTGCGGCATTCTTACGAGACTTCTCATGGCACTACAGTCATATAATATTTTGTGTGTGATGTAATATACAGCACCCGGTGGCTGATTGGTGCTCCAGGTCATTGGTTCAATCCTCGGTCCGGGCAAGGTTGACACAGCATCCCTTCAGTGGATCCATAAAATGAGTACCAAGCATGCTTAAAAACTGAGGGTTCCGCGTTGGGCTGACCACCCAAACGGAACATCTGCTCTTGCACCCCAGAACCCAAAGATCAGAAAATTGAGATAGGCTGTCGAGTTTAGATGTAATATAGTATTTTTTATGTGCACACAAGATGATTCAACATTGTGTTTAATGATCGAAGGGAACTGTATGACAGGAAATGTTTTCGCACACTTTTCTTTTATAGATTGGCTGTCAGTGCACATTTGAACTTTTATTTGTCTATATTATCTGACTTTTATATTTTAGAATAATTATTACAGAAAATTGCATTCAAATCTATAACATCTGTTTCATCACAGTTGTAATAAATAGGAATTTATTAGAGTTTTTTTTATATCAATACTTTTCAAAGAAGGGTTATTTTTCAATAGATGGCACCACTATGATAAAATTTAAATGCAATCAAAATTATGATATTTCATGAGAAATTTTTATTTATCCTTTTAAAATGGGATTTTTGGGGTAGATTGCGGATATAAATTGTATTAACATTTAAGGAGGATTAAATTATCGCTTTTATGGCGTATTAGTGGGTTTGTAGCTGGTGTTTCTTGTGGATCTTTTTTTTTGTTCTGACGTCCCCTGGATGCGGGATGACTTTTGAGCGAGTAAACAGGTCTGTATGGATTATTTCGCCTTGATGAAAAAAGTACAAGAGGCGTGAAGAGTGGCTGAAAAAGCAGTACGACGGGAGTGCGGATCGTGCCCGATGGAATGTTGGGTTGAAACATCACCGCTGACAGGATCTATCATGGCTGCTAGAAGGGTGTTCTGAGCCGGTATCATCGAGAATGAGTTTAGATATAGCTGGAGTCTCGGAGTGAGTTGATCTAGGCTGAAATGCTGAAAGGTGGGTGTTTGGAAAGAGTCTCTGGATGCCGCGACTAAGTACGCAACATTGGTCGGATGAGCTGTGGTCTGGAAGAAAGTTGATCTGAAGCCTCTGAATAGTTGACGGGAAGTGATAGACTGAATGTCGCTAAGTTCAAGACGGTTGGCAAGAATTGAGCGTTCCTCGGCAGAAAATCGAATGCTTCTAAAGAACTGAATGGCGGTCGGAAAGTCGAAGTTCTCCTAGTCCACAAGTCTAGATGCAAACCCGGTGGGCGTTCCAGAAGGTGATCTGCAAGTTCCTTTTGTATTTATAAACTCTAATTTCTTACCTTTTTAGTAACTTTTTAGAAGAGCATTTTATTCCGTATTTTAAATTATTTCTATCAGGTGTTGAGATACCTATTTTAAGATGAGCCTTGGATATTTAATTTTAATTATCTGTTGTAGGAGTATAATGACCTAAAGTTTAAATGTTTTTGTAAATTTAGAATGAGCTAGTGTTTTTATTTCGCAAATGTCTCTTTTAGTGTGAATTAATTGAATGTTATGCATATGAAATTTAAAAGTGCTTTTTATCGATAAGTTTTATCTTGAGTATAACCATTTGGAAATTTAAAAGTGTATAAATTGGAAATTTTAGTGCACATGAAGGCATCTGGAAATGATTGAAGTTGTGTTTGTTGAAAATTTATAGATATAATAAAATTTAATTTTAATTGTTAAATGTTTCATGTAATTCATTAGTTATTTGTCTATTTTTGAACCTGGGTAACTGTTACCAAAAATTCAATTAAAAGATCACAGCCTTGCCAAAGTTTGAAGGGTAACGGTACACAGTTCATAGATTTAGAAACCAACTTTCAGAAATCTCCTATATGGTGGCCATATCAATTAAGGTAAAACAGTTATTTCCGAATCTGTCTTGATACAATGTCTTACAATAACTACTAGAAAACATAAAATTAAGCTAATTTAGATAAGTTATAAATATGCATGATCAGCCAGACCATAATAGGAAAAATCCCTCTAGCCGCGCATGATGACATTTCCGGTACCATGAGTTTCTATCAAATTCTTGCTACTTATTCCATCAATCGCAGAAGATTCGAAAAACTTTCTATTGCTTTTCCGATATTCATTTTCGAGCGATATTTGCTCTTAAGAGCAGCGACTCATTAAAAACAAAGCTTTGCACCAGAAATGTGAATCCTCACTTTGGACAAAATTCTTATATTTCAAACCAAAACTCTTACAGTTACCAAAACGCTATCAACTTTACTATAAAACTTTTTTCCTTTTCAACTACAACAGCGCATTGTGAACCACTAGGGCTAGAAAGATGCTTTTGTCACAGAATTACCAATGATGTGCTGTCGATAGGTAAATTATCACAGAAATAAAATCGTATCGAGACACCTGTTGCAATCGACTGTTTCAAATTTATTGTCAGCACAAGTAATTAAGGGATTAATATTAAAGTCATGGGTACCTGTTCCCATGACTATAACTTTAATATTTCATATTTATTATTCATATTTCAATTTATATATTTAATATTTATTTCGTATTTAATATTTTCGCACCACTCACTTGAGAAACTCTTGACCTAATGAATGCCTCATATGCAGTTCAATTAAATTCAATTTTATTTTTCGATTTGAAACAAATTTCATTTATTTTTACAGCATTTTTGCATGGTCATACATGCACTTGGGTGAAGAAAAAAAAACGGCTAAATTTTATGGATTTGTTGTTTCTAAGGACATTTGGACATGGCCTTATACAAATAAAGCCAGGAAAGTGTGCTTTTTTGTTTAACCAGAGAGCACCACTAGGGTGAAAGTATGTCTTGGCTCAGAACCCCACGGATAGATGGCAGCATCACTCATTCGAGAAGCCACCTCCTCAATTTAGACATAGATCGGAAGGGGAAGGAAATTTTCTCCAGATCCCTGTACCCATGGTGTTGATCAGCGATTGACTCCAGGACTTACGACTCCACAGATTTTACGAGTTCGTATATCGTATGTACTCGGTGGGTCTTAGTGGAATCAAGGATCCTCTGTCCCACTCCCCAACCTATTCTGTACCTGAGTCCGATTCTCTAATCATTGAGCTACCATGGCTCTATTTAATGAATATTAAATGTTAAAGTAATTGAATGACCTTTGATTCAAAGGTCCACTAAAACTATTTTGTTTTAACAGAACATGAAATAGAAAGTAGTAGAACATGAAATAACGGTCAGAGCCATGATTCACTCGCTTCACAAAAAGCATTTACTCGTAAATCGATGTGCTCTTCTCAAAATTTCAGAGAATCTACAGTTTTGATCTCCACCCAAACTTCGAGAAAAAAAATTTCCTTTCCGCAAAAATTAAAAAATACGCTAATAGATTTACATAAAGAACATATCCTGAAAGTTCCATCGAAATCAAAAATATCAAGTAACCAACCTTGTCTGACTCTTAAAAAAACCGGATCTTAACTTTAACACTGTTTGTAAAAAAATAAATGAATAAATAAATAATAATTTTTGATATCATATTTTTCTGCAGAATTCAGCATTTCAGTGGACTTCTAAGAAAAAATTTTGTATAATTTATTTCAACAAAACAATCGTAAGCAATCATAATATTCATATGGATCACTCCTGTGACCCATATGTTTGGCGATATTTAGCACAAATTTTATCACTTTATATTCTAAAATCGGTTATTCTGTTCGTTTACAAAGTGATTGTCTATGTCAAAATATAATTGGTTTCACCCTCGTTGGTTGGAATTTCCTATTGCAATGAAGTAACATAGGGAAGGTAAAAAATTCGATTTAAGTAACCTTTTAGGTAATTTTATGCTATGCAAAAAGTACACTAGAGTACGTAAAAAGAGCTAAAAATTGAAATTTATCATTGTTATATAATAATTGAAAGTAAATTAAAAAGACTTTAACTAAATTTAATTGTTGGAATTATTTGTTCAATTTTTATCGCATTTTCCAGTTAACTTTCTTGCCAGCTTCATAATTCGAAGCAAAAGTTATTCAGGCCTTCATTTAAAGCTAGGGTTTCTGGGAGTTGTTGGCGAACTTGATGATAAAATTATTAGAAATTCTGATAATAAAATTATTAGAAATTCTGAGAATAAAATTAGCAGAAATCCCAGAAACTGCTCTTTTTTTCCTTTAACTGCCCCCCCATTGAGTAAAAATAACAAATAATCATTTCTAAAAATCAATAAAAATGCTCATATATGATGCATTTTTTAAATCTCGATATATTATGAAATAAAAATTACTAGGGTAGCGTTTTCTCATTATTATTAGATAAATTGTGTGTTATTTTATTTGTCAATTTACATTTTTAATTTTTTAAAAATTTATTTATTTACATATTTATTTCTTAATTTATTTTTTATGTATTACTTACAAGAAAATTAATAAAGAATTGGGACGTGAGGAGCATAATATAAAATAAGAAAATTTAAAAATAAAATTCATTGGCACACAAATCTCCGCTATTTAACGTAAAAGTATAAATATAATTGCTACATTTAAAAACTATTTCATTTGATGAAAATATCAATACCAAATAGCAAACTTGGGCAAAATTATTTTTTCGAAAATAAAATGATTTTTAAGGTTTCTTTAAGAACACTATTTCTTTAACTATTCTTAACTGTATCTTCAAAATATATTATGCGTGAATCCAAGATCAAAATAAACAAAAGGAAATTACTTCCGCTTGCTTGAAGCATCGAATTGTGATGTCGTCCGGTAACATTCTTTAGCAGACCTATATCTATCTCATGAAGACATTGATGACCGAATGCCCATAGGCACACTATAAATGCCTTTGACCGCGTCTCCTCTTTGTTTCTTCCATTATTACTCCATATTCACTTCAAGGTTAGTACTTTATTTTTACCTTTCTTTTACTCTAATTTTTGAAATAGGGGCAATTTTTATAAATGCACCTTTTTGAATATATCTATAATTTTTTATTATTAAAATTCGAATCTTCATTTTGAATAATATACGAGGTTAGTAATTTATCTTTAGTTTTCTCTTATCTTTTAATTTTTTCTTTTATTTAAATTCAGATGAGGGGAGCTATTATTATAAATAAACAAATACAGCTTTTTGAACATGCATGTAATTTTTTATTGTTAAAATTTGAATGTCTAACCTTCATTTTGAATTACATTAGGTTAGTACTTTATATTATTTACCTTTCTATTACTTTTTAAACTAATTTTTTTAAAAAAAACGTAGATAAGGGGAGTTAGTGTGGGCAATTTTTATAAATTTGCCGTTATAACTTTTTAAAAATTTTGAACACTGAGAATTTTTTTTTATAAAATCTGATTCTTTGTTTTTATTTTTAATCATACATTATATAAGTATTTTGTTTTTAGCTTTCCTTTAGTCTCATTTTTTAAATAGTCAATATTTCAATATAAGTTAGTTAATATTTTAATAGTTTAGTTGGAAAAAGAGAAGCTAGTGTGCGCAATTTTTATAAATTTTTAAATTTACCAATTTAGTTTTTTGACGGTATCTAGAATTTCTTTAAATTAAAATGTAAATATTTCGCTACATTTTCAATGGTACATTAGCAATTTTGTATGAATACTTTTAATAATATTTTTTTTAATTAAAAAAATGCCTTTATCCACATGAACCTAATGACATGGGGTCAATGTAAACAAGTCATACAATAGCTTGTTAAGCGTTGAAAAAGTAAGTCACAACAAAAGTGATTTGAATCAGTTTTTATCTAAAATTATAATCTCAAATAAATAATGTTTTTTAATGAGTAATAAATATTAATTAATGATTACCATTCCATTATACTATTTCTACTACATTGGAAGTCTATTTTTAGTATTTATTTCGTATAAAAATGCAAAATTAAAATCGAATTCGGTGTGACAAATAAATATAAAATGTCAGCTGTTAAATTGAGGTATTAGCTTATTTTCTAAGGCTCGAATTTTACAATTTCTGTAAAAAAAATAATTAAATTTTTTAAGCTAACAAACATTTTAATTAAAAAAACTTAAAATGTGCAAAAATGTTCAAAAATTATACTGTATTTTTGACTGCACAAAATGGGATTTAATAAATTAAAGTCTAATGTGTGGAAAAATTTGTAAATAAATTTAATATTTTACAAAATTTAGTTTAATTATTAAATAAAGTCTAATACGTATTGTGCTTTAATTTAACCCTCATTATTATCACAGAAAGCTGAATTTTAACATGTACTCAGTAGCCCGTGGAACCGCTTATAGTTTATTCATTCATTTACTAAAAAGGCAAACCAAAAGTGAATTATAAAATATGTAATAAGCATATTTATCCATAAAATAAAATTTTTTACAAATTGAGAATTCATTACCATAAAAACCTTGTTCATTATGTTGTACTCATTATGTTGTATTCATGTACTTTGAGCCTGTTTTAAGAGTCAGGCAAGGTTAAATATTAGATTTTCTTGCAATTTTCAGGATATGTTCTTATGTCAAACTATTAAAAGCGTGTCATTTTTATTTTTTTTAATTTTTTCAAAAATATTTTTCTCAAAAAATTATTATAAAAAATATTTTTAAGAATCACTTATCGATCTCCAGCAAGAATTGAATCGCGAGCGTCTATGTTGAGTACTTTACCTACCAGAGAAGAAAAATATCGTTAACACTTAAACTGTACTTAAACTTTCAACGTTATTTTCTCAGAAACAGTTGGCCAGTGTTAAGGGCATAAACCTAAAGTGGGACGAAAAATTAAAATTATCCCAAATCACTGGAATTTTTTAGAAAAAAATATTATTGTAAGAAATTCAAAAGGCATAACGAAATTTGCAAAAAGTGAAATCAATATTACGGAGCCCAAACTTTCGACCGTTCTCCAATTAGAACCATTTTTTCAGAATTGCTGTATTTCAATGATCCAGAATCTAAATCCGGCAAAATAAAAGCATGTTTATTAAAAGCATGTCTGATCTTGCAATTTAATTAATAGTTAACACTGATGAAGGGAATTTGAACCATTAAAACTAACGCTTAGTACGTGAAAAACTTAAGCTGTTTATGGTGTATATATATATATATATATATATAATATACNTATATATATATATTTTAATAAAGCAAAAATTAACGACAAGAAATATCATGCGTTATTTTTTCTAAAGTAATATTTTTACTTTCAGATCAAAATGAAATTCGGATATATTCACGCTTTTCTTATTTTAACATTTGCAGTAATATGGCTGAGTTTGCCCGTTTCTTCGGAAAAATCAGAAAAAGAAGTTGAAGGACGAAGATTTCTCAGTCTGGGTCCTTTCAGACCATTTATGCGAGTTCTTGGAATGATGGGTATTCCATTATTGCCTTTAATATTAATTCGTCAATTAATAATGGGAAGTACAGCCACTAATACTCAAACTTCTGGGGCAGGAGGTGGTCTTGGAAGCATGGGTGCTTTAGGTATTCTTGCCCCATTTGGAGCTGGTGCTGGTCTAGGAGGAATAAGGCCTTTGGGAGGAGCAGCAGGTGCTGGTGGAGGACTTAGACCTTTAGGTGCTGGAAGCCTAAGACCTTTAGGCACAGGAGGCCTTAGACCGCTTGGTGCACTTATAGGAAATGCTGTAGCTGAACAAGCAGCATCAGCAGCTACAGGTGGTTCAAATTCCTTATTTTTGAAAAAAAGATCAACAGAGCAAGAAAAGCCAAACCGTTTCTCAACATTTCTCGGTGCATTGGCAAAATTTGAAAAAGTTGTTGACCAATATGATTTAAGTGTGCCTGATTGCCAGCGTCTGATTGTCTGTGAAGTTCATAGAAAGAGTATAAATCCAAGTTTTGGTTCTTTCACCGAAAAGTTAATCCAAGCTTTTGGGTAATTATTATTTTATCTCATTTTAATATTAAGCAAAGTTCAACGTCTTTGAGATCGAAATGCACATCTTCCTTTACCTTAAAAAATTTAAATTTTCCCCTGTAAATAAATTTTTAATATACTGTGCGTGTTAACGTTATTCAATATAAGTCAAATTTTATTTCAACTGGCATTTTTGATGAGCGTTTGGAAATGTAATGAGTATAAACTTTTGATTACATGGTTAGCTCGTACAATTTTTTAATAATTCAAAATTCTTGAATGCTGAGACCTTTTATATGCGTTTATTGTAATATTTACAGTTAAATTTTCTTTTATTATTTGAAACAGAAGGTTTATGTAAAAAACTATCTCTTTCTTTGAAGATGTTTTATTTATTTTACCTTTATTTGGATATATCAAGTTACTTCACTTGATTTTCAAATATAATATCACAAATTTATGCTTAATTTCCTGTAGTTTTTGCATCGTAAAATTTTTTAAGCATGCTAAAAAATACGTTACTATTAAATAAATGCCATTAGATATTATATTTTATTTTATAACCGTCGTTGAACAGCCGACCCAATTTTCGGGTTTACGACTACTAATGTTCAACTCCGTAGTCTTGTAATTTTGAATCCAATTCAGAACACAAGGGAACTGCTGGATCAAATATTGGGAGAAAATTTCCTACATGGAGGACTTTTTAATGGAACTAACCAGCATTAACGCTACATGGTGAGGGAAACCACGAAAACCACCCACAGTTAGCCTGACGGTAAGGGGGCATTAACCTATGATTCATCTACCACTGAAGATATTTTACGTCAGCACTGTGGATGGTGCAAGCCGGGTGCAGAATTCGCATCCCTCGGATTTGAACCCGGTTCACCCCATTCGAAGGCGAACGCTTTATCCCCTGAGTCAGTACGGCTCTAGACATCATATTTTATCTTTTATTTTATAACCGTCGTTGAACAGCCAGCAAGGGGACATTAACCTATGATCCATCTACCACTGAGGATATTTCATGTCAGCACTATGGTCGTAATTCGTATCGACTGGGATTCGAACCCGGTTCGCCTCATAGGAAGGCGAACGCTCTATCTCCTGAGCCAACGCGGATCAGACATCATACTTGAAAATATTCCTAGCATTTAAACAATTAGACACTGACATAAAATTTCACTTTTACTGAATGAGATAAATATATGCTTCTTATGAACGGATACAATATTGAAATATATTTACTAGTGAAAAATACATATTTTCTTATTGTAAAAAAGGCACATTTAAGTTCTCGAAAGCGTCTTTCCTTCCTTTCCTTTTAATTATTATTGCTATTTTCCTTAATTGCTAAAAGTAATGTGAAACATATTAATTTTAACCATTAAGGGAATCGTAAAAATAATAATTCTATTATTTTTACTATTCAAGTGTATATAGAACTTTTCTTTCCTCATAAAAGTTTGACTAAGAAATATTTTCTGCCCTCAAATGGCTGAACAATATTGATTCCTGATATTTATGTATTGTTTAAATTTGCTTTAGAAGGGTCTTGAAGTTTATTTTTTCTTTGAAAATATTTTACAGATTATCATGAAACTAAAAGATAATTCATTTGATTACTTCGCTTTTAAGATATAAACTAATATTAATTTAATTTCAATGTGCTAATAAAGGATAAATTTCTAAAATACTGACAATTTATTTAAAAATATTTGTTAAAAATCTTACATTAAACAATTTAAAAATTTGAAAATTCGAAAATTTATGCAATGGCACTTTTTTACTCTAAAAATGTTTGCTCTCAGTTAGTGACCCTTATATCCATATATATTCACTATATTGATATCTAGAGTTATTGGCAATCAATATCATTTGTGTTAATATTAGTTTGCATACCAGGATAAAAATAATTTTAAATTTTATTTCGAAATATAATAATTGTAATATTTATTTTAATTTTAAAACCAGTAAAACATACTAAAATTAAAATTTTATAGCACATAACAGCATTGTTGACAATGATAAAAGCAGCGAACCAAGATATAAGTTCAATAAACAATGTGTGAACGAGATATCTCATTATACCTTACGTTACAAAGATTAGAGGTTAAAATATAGATAGAAATATGTTATAAATAATTTCCTTATAAAAAAATTATTCAAAGGTGTCTTTTAAGAAATTTCTGAAAATAAGTACATTATAATTATATGTATTGAACAAAAATATGTTTATATTTTGTAATGCATAAAAATATGTAAGTTGAAAAGTATGAATGGGGGAAAGTATTATATGGGGGGGAGGTAATGTGTACAGCTGGGATAATATGTTTTTTATTGGTCAATATTTTTCGAAAAGTTTTGAAGTCTTGACACAACTGTTTAACATTTTCTTAACTTTTGATTGTTCAACAGTAAATGCTCTTTTGTTCAACGGTACTGCTCTTTTCCATTATAAAAACTAACAGTTTTTATAATGGAAAAGAAAATTCTTGATTTAACCACATAAGACTATTTTAATTCATTGTTTTAAATAACTGGAGATATGTTGTTAATATGTATGTTTTTATACGTATATTAGTCACTTCTGATTTGAATTATTTTAATTTATTCCACAATAGGTTTAAATGAACAAATGAAACTGCGAGGGGGGCTAGTTTGAACGCGTGATTGTGAAGCTACTGTGAACACATCCAAATGGAGCTTTTTGTAATAATTACTAACACCCCACTTACTAAGATTCTCAATACTTTGGTCCAAAATTCTCGTGACTAACTTCAAAGGGGGGAAAACACTTTTTATTCAAAATTTGATTTTATTCAGCCTCTTTTATGATTTTTTAGATAAGGGAATTCTAAAAGTTCTCCAGCGTTTATTTATAGCACCCCTATAAAAACACTTTCAATAGAGCTTTATCATTTGTGTCAAATATCCTTTTGAGAATTGTAAATAGATAATAGACGCTGGAGAATACGCTGGGTGGGATAGCCATTTGGAGATCAATTAGTACAGTTTTAATCATCAACTCGGTGTTGCTTTATTCCACTTCCGAATGCGACACCCAAATGGAAAACAGTTTCATCAAGGCCTTTCGAATTATTGTATATACACACTTTTTTTAATCTATGAAACTATCGTTGAACAGCCGAGCCGATTTTGGGTTTACGACTTCTAATGTTCAACTCCGCAGCCTCGTAATTTTGAACCCAATCCAGGAGGCAAAGGAACTTCTCGATTGTTTGCTTTCGTGGGCTACTTTTTCATAAAACTAACCCGCATTTGCGTTACATAGCGTGGAGTATCTCGCATAGTTAGATCGGCGGCAAGGGGACTCAAACCCATGATCCGTCTGCCACTGAGGATATCCTGGCACTGTGATCGTTGAGAGCCAGGGTATCGATCAGCCATCGCTGGGATTTGTACCCAGTTCACCTCATTGGAAAGCTCTATAACCTGAGCTCATTCTTTTGATGTCTTTAAGGGAATAAATATCTAATGCAATTTTTCTCTCTCTTTTTTTTTTCTAAAAAAAAAGTTTTCTGGTACAGTCCACTGATTTGGAAGTTTCGAGAGTTCGCTACTGCCCATCAGCAAAACTCCCGACAAATTGTTGGTTTCGACGAAACTTTCTATGGCTATAACACTTTAACCAGGGCTACTATGTTTATGACCTAAAAATCCTTCTAAAAATGCAAAAAAAGCCTCTAAAAACCATAGAAAAAACATGAAACAAAAAATAAAGTTCTTAAAAAGTTTTGAAAACCTGCTTTATATTAGTGTTTTATTAAAAAAAATTATGCAATAAAAATTTTGATAACTTTTGTAAAACATAGGGTATTATTTAAAATAAATAGGTCTAATTTGAATTAATAAAATAAGATGTAAATAAATGCTTGATAAATATAAGTAGGATTTAATTTTTAGTAAATATCTTCAAAATAATTAGTATTACATTGTAATATCAAATGATTCCTGATGTTTTTCAAATTGAAAAATTGCCTTTTGAGCAAAAACAAATTCTTATATCTTTGTTTAACATCACTTGTTATTGGATGATATAAAATGCCATTGAAAATTTATTTATAAAAAAAAATAGTAAAAAATAAAAAAATGATGAAAAAAGGGAAAAAAATCTAAAACTGAAAAATTATGTAGACCATGAATAATGTCCTATAAAGAATAAAGCAAACAACCAAAAATGCTAAAGACAACATATATGGAACTTCCTAGCCAACGCTTTTCTCGCCGCTTTTTCGGGTTTAAACGAGAATTTTTTTCTTATATATCATTCAATCTTTTCTATCATTCTTACTGAACTTCTAATTTCCACTTCTTAACTATAACTTTCTTAATAATGTTCGAAATATTATGAAACTTTGACGGGTATCCTTTGCAAGTCTATGCATTTGTTTTTGGCGGTTATAGTTTTTGAATGATGGGTTATTTATATTATTATATTTGCAAAGTAATTATTTTCTTTCTTAAAATGTCTGGTTTCTATTTATTAAAATAGGTTTGTTTTTGCACTGTAAAAAGCTTTGAAAAAAATATTACTTAAATACATTTTGAGTTTTATTTTTAATTCAAAATTTTAATTAACTATGGAATTCTATATTTGTTTTTTTTTTATTCTTATTGCAGTTGTAAAATATTTCCTTCAATTCTTTTAAAGGTTTTTCTAACATGATTAAAATGACCCGCCTCTCAATTGTTTTTAAAATTATTTGTCAAATTAATTTTTAAAATAAAATTAAAATTTAATGATTGTTTCTTAAATAAATAAATACTACAATATATCTTACGTCAGCACTGTGGTCGGTGCGAGCCGGGTGCAGAATTCGTATCGAACAGCCATGGCAGGGATTCGAATCCGGTTGACCTAATTGGAAGGCGAACGCTCTATCATCTGAGCCACCACGGCACCTCACTAAACTATTGAGTTCAAAGTTTCCAAATTAAAAATATCTTATTGATTGTAATATGCATTATCAAGGACAGGGTCGTACTTAGGGTTTTAGCAGCCAATTTCAATCCCATTTAAAAATAAAAATAATTTTTTTTTCGCGTTTAGAGTACAAAATTCTAACAAAGTGTATAAATAATACTAAATAGTAATTAACAAGAATTCAAGCTTGCTAAAAGCGAATAAAAGATGACTGGAAAAATTCAAAATTTTATTGGAAGAAATTAAAAATTAGTAAATTTGTATATCATATTTCCTTCAGTTTACTATTGAGAGTGATTGCAACGAATGCTTTGATTTTAAGTCTGAACAATTTGAAATGTAAGTCATAGTGGTAGTTACAATTTAATAATTAAAGAGATATAATGATTAAAGAAAATTGAATTGAGTTAGTACCACTTTTTACATTTTTAGTCGCCTGTGGAAAGGGCCCGATTTAGCCTAATTAAGGCTTGGGGCAAAAACTTCCTGCTTCACTACTTCAGTAATGAGGAATTGAACTTTATGGAGGTAAAATGTTTCACCTTATCATACATATATAACAAGAAAATTGACCTAAAATAGCTATTAAGTCCCCCTTGCAATGGTCAAGCGAATTATCGTTCTGTCCATTTTATTAATTTTCTGACAATTCTATGTCATTCATGCCGAATCCAGGTTTCTGATTGTTAACATTGTCATCTAGCTGCGAAAAATACATATCCTTGCTGACATTAGGGTGGAATTCAGCTAAATTTTAGCAATTACATGGCTCACTTAAGCCAATCAAAAGCCTGTATTTTTGTAAGCACATCGCATTTTGTATGTAAAAATACAGGCTCTTGATTAGTCCATTGTAATCAAATTTGTCCATTGTAATTGCGAAAATTTAGCTGAATTCCGCACTAGAAAGCCACAGATTTACGAAATATAGATTTTTGTGTTCATACGATAGATTAAAGAAGCTAACATAAAACTGACGGATGTACACTGTACTGATATTAAGTTCATTATTGAGGGAAACCTAAAATAAACTTTAAATTCGATTTGGGGGCCCACCTCTGATGTGGAGCCCGGGGCAACTGCCCCGTATGCCCCTGCCTTTATCAGGCTCTGTCAGTGGCATCAGTGAATAATACTGCAACTAAAATTCCTAATGCTACTAATAATAAAAATGTTAATATTATTATTGAATTACTGCGAGCTGATTACTGAATAAATGAAGTCAGTTATTATTTTTTATGGAACTAAAAACAATAATGAATTGCAAAGACAGGGCACCAACTTGTCGAATAAACGTAAATTAATTTAGATCAAAAAATATTTTAAAAAATAAATTATTCTTGGCAAAACAAGTTTTTATTCTTTATTTACAAGTAAATATCCTAATTACATATTTAGTCATTAGGATATCTATTTGTAAATATGAAATAAGAACTAATAATAAAAAGATTAATATTATTTAATTACAGCAAACTAATTACTGAATAAATAATGCCAGAGGTTTTTTTTCTTTTTATCAAACTGAAACTATTACTGAATTGCTAAGACAGAAAACCAACTTCTGAAATGTAAAATAAATTAATTTAGGTCATAGCATATTTAAAAAAATAAACTATTCTTGTCAGAGCAAATCTTTATCCTTTATTTATAAGTAGATATTCTAATTACATATTGAATTAGTTTTAACTTTACTTGTATTAAAATAAATGTGTATAAAATTAAATGGGCATAATTGAAAAACGTTTATTGATAATGAAACAGTAAATTATTTTACATACTACAATGAACACATTAAGATATGATAAAACTAAAAACATTAATGAATTGCAAATATAGAGAACCAACTTGTGGAATGTTAAGTAAATTAATTTAAATCAACGAACAGTTCAAAAAATAAACTATTCTTGGCATATCAAGTCTTTATTCTTTATTCACAAATAGATATACTAATAACATATTTAAATAATTTAATATTACTTATATTGAAATAATTGTGTATAAAATTTAATGGGCATAACTAAAATACATTTATTGATAATAAAGCAAAAAATTATTTTTTATACTTTAATGAGCACATTAAAATATGAAAATTATATGAAATTAATAATTATAATTTAAAAGTTATATTCTCTGCAACTAAGCTCTTGAGAAAAAAAAACAATATTTCGTTTCTTAATCATTAACTTATTCCTTGATTCTATAAATAAAACATTTATTATCAATGAGATTCGATATCAATGGTTTATTATCACAATCTTAAAGTATAATATATTAGATAATAGAGTACCGTATAAATAATATTTTTTTGATAAATCTAAGATTTAATAAAGATCCTGTGATTCAAATTAATGGTTCTTTTTTTCAATTTAAATATTTTTAAATCATGCAAACCATGATTTTTACTTTTCTAAACCTTTTTCACAGCAGTTCTTAGGAATTGCACACCACACACTCGCAAATGAGCAATAGCTGGAATTTTTAAAATAATTTCTGTGCCATAAAAGTTGAAAGTAGACAAAGATTTCCATGTTATTTTAAAAATTACACATCTCATCTAAGGGAACATAAACTGAAATGAAATTAGACGCATTTAGAAATATAAATTATAATAACTCGTATAAATTATATCCAAGGAATAGTAAAAATATATACAAGATTTAGCAAATGTAAAGAAAAACTTGTAATAAAACAATTATTCAGTCCTGAATTTCTGGAGGCCCTAAATGTTACTGGCCCTGGGCAATTACCCAGTTCACCAAGCAATTCGCGGACCTATGTTTAATGATTTAGCTTTTTTATAATTTTGAACTTAGGAGCCGCGATGGCTCAGGGGGAAGAGCGTTCGCCTTCCAATGAGGTCAACCGGGTTCGAATCCCAGCGATGGTTGGTCGATACGAATTCCGCGTCCGGCTTGCACCGACCACAATGCTAACGGGAAATATTCTCAGTGGTAGACGGATGATGGGTTAGAGTCCCCTTGCCATCAGGCTAACCGTGGGAGGTTCTCGCGGTCTTCTTCTTCATGTAACGCATCATCATGTAACGCTTCTTCATGTCGGCTGTTCAACGCGGGTTATAAAATAAATTAAAATTTGGACCTAAAATCTAAAATTTGAGGTCCGTAGCTCAGTAATTGAACACGGAAATAGTTATTGAAATCCTGCGAATTGTTTTTTTTCCTTCTTTTTTCTTCTAAGAAGTGTGATTTTGGCCCAAAATGACAGTTTATACTTTCCTCGAAATGAGCCTGCATCTGCCAAAGGAGCGGGAAACTTACACTATGCTAAGACGTATTGTTGTCGTGTATTATAATTTTTTTTTTTTTTTAATCTTTTTATGCTGAATCGAATGAAGCATCGCCCCTGTCGATGCATTTAATGTATCAGATGTTTTAAGAGCTTTTATGCATAAATAATACAGTAAATTGTTGTACAGTCAGACAATGTTTTAGACCCTTTTTAGGATTAATGAAATGAAATATAACTAATTCAAATAAGATCCTAATTAATTTATTATTAACAGTTTCAGAATTATTCAATACGAACATATTAACTGTTTTGAAATAACAACCTCATTTTATTGGCCTCAGACCTGAGATGCTTATGATAGTGCTTATGATATGCACCTTTTTATTTCTTTATTTGCGTGAGGTATTATAACAATTTGTGTTGATTCGTTTCTCCATTTAGCTGAACTTGATGTATCAGCTCAATGGTGGTCGTTTCAAATGTATTTTTTATAAGTGGATACATTTCAAAAGTTATCGATCGACTTAATTAGGTGGGTGGGTACTTTATTTACGTCACACTAGAGCTGCACAATGGGCTATTGGCGACGATCTAGGAAATATCCCTAAGGATGATTCATGCCATCGCAGTTTTGATCCTCTGCAGAGGGGATGGCTCCCCTGTTTTGGTGCGCGGAGTCTTTACGACAGAACAGTTTAAAGAGGACCGCTCACCCTCTGTCCCTGCGTAGACTGATCAAAGTGGTCACCTACCCGCTTACTGACCACAGACAGTGATGCTTGACTTAAGGATTTACGATCAGTCCAGATCGACTTAAGTAAATAATATTGTTTAATACTATAAGATAAGATCGATTCTTTTCTTAGGTGCCTGCAAGTTAAAATGCTTTTTAGTAGATAAAAGATTCAACATTAGTGACCCCTCAGTTTTTTACACTTCATTTCAAACTAAGATTCTAAAAATATATCTATTAACGACGATAGATATGCCTGTATATACTCTTTCTTTTTATTCTAGTGTTGAAGGTCGTTTAGAACGTTCCAGATTTCCATCTAGCACTAAATCTGCACTAAAGGATATACTTAAAGCTGCAAGAAATGGATTACAACAAAGAGATTGCTCGGCTATTTATTACAAATGCCCAGTTGCTGTCACCGAACTAAGAAAATCTGACGATTCTCATACTTAAAATGGATTTTAAAGTATATTTTGAACAGTGCTTATTGTCTTAGTAAATAGAATATGCACTTGAAGGATACACGATTTTTCAACTCTCCACACTTTTCCTTTGTCTGATACCATGATTTCGGCAAATCTTTCATACGGCAGTACGTTTCAAAAGGAAGTCAGATTATACTTGCTTGAGAAAAAGGCTATCCAAAATCCTGATAACAGAGAGGGTAAAAGTGTGGAGAGTGGATAACCTTGAGACGCCTATTCTATTTAAAAAGAGTATAGCAAGTCAACGCTAACAAGCGATCTTTTACTTTGTATATAAAAGAGATTTTGCACTTTCACGTAGCATCTCGCACGCTCACGTACATAAATTCTGCGCAGCGCAGTTACTTGAAAAAATTCTCGGTAGCACCGAACTTATATGCGTGAGCGTACGGGATGCCACGTGGAGTGCAAAATCTCTCTAATTTTCATCATTTCATTTGATCAAGTTTTAATCATTTGTCATTTTTCGCGTATTTTGAATATCATTTGAATGATCGTATTGTAAATTGAAAGTTTCGGGGTATTTGGGAACTATATTTATTATTGTTAATTTTACACAAAAGTTGTTCAATATACTGACGATTGATAATTATTATTACATATATTGTGTCTACTCCAATAATTATCATTTGAGTGTTTAAATAACTCATGAAAATGCGAAATACTATGTGAGTTAATTTAATCTTAAATATAAATTTTATGTCAGCTGTGTTTTCACACACAAAAGACAAAATATAAAGCAATATGTAAATTATGTTGAATTAAAAATCTTATTTTTATCTTAAAATGTGTATCCAAGATTTGTTTTCAGCTATCACCAAATTGTAAATTTTGTTCCATTTTACGCAAAACAGTTATATCTAATTAAACAACTCATCCTGAGTAATACTTAAATCATGTGTTTTTTATTTAATAAATACTTTTTTTTTACACAAGTTCTAATTTATTCAAGTTTCATACCTTATACCGATTGATCAGCTGTAAAAAATATTTTGTGCAGAAATTTATTGTAAAGTAAAAATTTCATTTTAAATAAATATTTTTAAACTTTTATCAAGTTATTTTATTGGTTGATCAGAAATCACATCTGAATCTATTGTATTTATCAGACAATGTGCCATATTTTGAATTTAATATTTTTATAAATAAAGGGTCCTATTAAATTTAGCCCACGTCTATATCGATAGAAATGGTGATACAAATATTGTTACAATTTGTAAAAATCAATATTTTGTTTGATTATTGTACGTCATATTATTATAATCATTATAATAGAAAAACTTTGAGAAAAGAAAACATCACAAATTGAAGATAGTAATTGAATCTATACTAAATAACTAATGAGCTTTTACTAAATAAAATAATCTACAATTAACTAAAAAAAATTAGTTCATTTGAATGAAATTTTTCCTTCAAAAAATTGAGACTGTTGTTCCATTTCTCTTTCTAGTGATTAAAGTATAAAAACTTACATAAAAAAATTTAAATTAATCAGATTTTATTTAAAATTCAAATATTAAATTTTTTATATTTCTTGTCTCTGGAACTCATTAAGATAAAAACTCAATTTTCATAATTTTGATATTTACATATGATATGAGAATCAGAATTTTACATTCGTCTTTTCAAACACCCTGTATATATTTACCGTTCATGTTATAAAAATAATATAATGACATACTATTTTCATATTTTATTGACTATCACACTAATTTCGATACTTTCTGAGTGTTGTTGTACAAATGAAATACGTTAGCTATCTTTCATTACTAAATTTTAAATTCTCTGTATTAATCACACATGTATGTGAATATATCAAACTTCCCTACATACAAAGTTTAGAAATATAAATAATTTGTTAAAACTATAAAATAAGCATAAATTAGTTCTAAAGTAATGTTAGATTGTTTTATTTATACGTATTTTGTAGTATTTTGTTTCAGGATAAACTATATGTATGATAGTATAAACTAAACTAAATGAATGCATTGATTTGTGTAAGAATATTGACAATTTATTTTTGATTACAATAAAATTCGTTTAATTGTGCCTCATGTTATCTTTTTATATTAATTTTACACAACAAAAAAACACATTTTTTTGAAATTCATATTCATAATTTTTACATAAATATTATTGTCACTGATTTGTTTGGAAACAGTATTCAAAAGATTCTAACTATAGCAATGAACTGATTTTTTTTAAATATAAGGCCTTCTTAAACAAAATTATTAACAAACTGTATAAGATGCCATTAAAGAAATTATTATTGTGAAGCCACAGCTTAGATATGATTTGGCTACGACATGTCTGCTGATGTGCAAAAAATTGCTTCGTTTCGGGTTGATTACACTATACTCTTAGTAGATAGATTTGACGTCTCAATGTTACGCGATTTTCCCACTCTCAAGACTTTCCCCCTCGCCATTACCATGGTTCTAGCAAATTTTGCTTCTTCCTTCGCAAGTGTATTCCATCTTATTATTGAAACGTACTGCCATGAAAAAAGCAAGATTTGTTGAATCCATGGACAGCTGGGGGGAGGGGAGTGTGGAGGGTAAGAAAGTCGCGTAACCTTGAGTTGCCTATTATATTTACAGAGTATAACTACAGTACTCCATCTGTACAGTGTGCAAAATAAAAAATTAAACAATTTAATAACTTTTGATCTAAAGACAGGATTATCTCGCTCTAAAATGAAATTATAATGGTTCAAAAAAAAAAAAACTTTAAAGATGCTAATCATCACGAAATCATACGAAAAAACTTACTTTCCTTAATAAACACACCTTTTAACAACTGATTTGGATTTTTGACCCCCAAACTATAGGGGAGTAAGCAATCAGGAAAATATGATCCAAGTAGCTAAGTATCAAAAGTTTGAAACACATAATGTACTTTTCGCATATTTTGTTTTAGAGAAATATAGTTTCAAATTTTCATATTTTTAAATGTCGAAGTCTCAAGAACTGTTCTCTACTATAAGTTTGGATTTTATGATTTAAAATTAAGCAGTTCAAATGAAGTAAAAAATTTTATACCATACAATTCAAAATACATAAAAGAAAGGGTAGCCAGAAATTTTTTTTAAAAAATCACCAATTTGGCTAGATTTTTCCACCTAGATGAAAATTATCAAAATGAATATTTCTCAATTTTTGCATATTTTAATGTTCCTAGATAACGCAGCATTGGAGTAAGTTTTTGAATCTTTAAAAAAAGGATTAGATCACAAATTACTTTTTTTTTTACAAAATTATGCCTTCTCTTCAACTATGCCTTCTAGTGACGTTTTTGCGCCATTTTCGGAATTAGCATTGAGGACGCTATCTAAAGATATGTTAAACTTGACCAAAACAGTCATAAATAACTGTTGCAAAACTCTCAGGAATTATGAAAATTAAAGAAATTTGAAAATAGCATATTATTCACAACGAAGAAAAAATTTTTTTTAGCGTGATGAAAAAGCTTATAAAAAGCAGCCTTAATGAATCATTTTTAATTTTTGTGATTTTTTATTTGATCCAAGCAATACATCAACTAACAAAACGCTTTTATTTTTGAAAATTAGAAGTTTTTCTTCACATCAAAATGGGGTCGTCGGGCTACCGAAGCGGGCGTGCCATCCCTTCCGCAGAGGATCAAAATTGTGATGGCATGTCTTCGGATCATCCTCTGGGATGTTTCCCAGACCGTCGCCAATAGCCCATTGTGCAGCTCTAGTGCGACGTAAAGTAACAACAACAACAACAATCACATCAAAATGTTATACTACATCCGCTAGCGTTGGCTGAATTTGGACAAAATCTAACAGTTACTAATCTAACAGAATAACTGTTACGAACTCACAATTATAGAAGTAACGAAAGGGTTATTCTTTTAGGATAGTTTGTCATTTTGATTTTAAAAAGATTAAAAATTCTTGTTAAGAATTATATAAAATTAAATATATAAAAGTATATAATATATAAATATATAAAATTAAAAATCCTTGTTTTCCTGTTAAGGCAAGTATCCATGTTGGGAAAAAATTGCCATAATTAAAACTTTTTCTTTTAACTTTATACTTTATTACTTTTTAAATTTTCGTTTGTAAAATTAGGGGAAAATTTGACTACGCTTTTGAAACTCTTGGCGAGATTTTGCTTTTAGGCTGCGGTTTGCTTTTCTAATGAATAATTCTCAAATTTCATAAATTTCTTAAAATCCCACAGAATGCAGTGCAGGAGTATTTTTGTCACATCTTAAAAAGTTGGATTCTATACACTTTTCATTTTTGCGAAACTGTAGGTTTCTTTTCCCAGAGACAATTTGCATCATTTTCATTATTAGCATTGGTGTTGCTTCCTAAAGATCTGACCTTAGCAGTCATAAAGAATTGTTACAAATAGTTTTAAAAATGGCATTAATTTTTGCTAAAAGTCACTTGATGAAAAACAGCCATAGAATAAATTTCTTTTTATTTTTATGAAAGTGTAGGTTTCTCTTCACAGGGAGAATTAGAGTCATTTTCATTATTAGCATTGCTTCCTAAAGATCTGACCTTAACAATCATGAAGAATTGTTACAAATAGTTTTAAAAATAGCATTATTATTTGCTAAAAGTCACTTGATGACAAACAGCCGTAGAATAGATTTCTGTTCCTTCTTTTGCGCGTAATAAATTTTTGAATTTAAACGTGTATAAATAGTATTTTCTAGCAGCAGAGGTATATTTAGATCCAATGCCTTTTTTTTACTGAATAGGAAAAAAACCCACTTGAAATAGCGTGCTGTCAGAAAATGGATTTTTAATTAAAATACGAAGAGTATTCGTAAAACTTTCACATCCGAATGTTTTCTTTTCACCGTTAAATGAGGTGACGCAGAAATATTCAGATTTTCTCGGTACAGTGAGCAAAATAATCACCCTGAATTACTTTACGGTTCATATTGGTTCAAAGGGATGACCTCAACTTTGTTCGTGGTAACAATTAATTGCATTACAGAAACAGATACAAAAACGTACTTTCTTTGAATAAACAAAGCACGTTTATTTTTATTTTATTTAATAAGTGTCGAAAGCATTTTGAACCGAAAGGTATACAAGTTTTTACATCATTTTAAACTATCCAATTGAAAATAACAAGTTAATAAATTTAAACGGAATCGTTCGAATAGTTCTTGAAAAATCGAATTTTAAAATACGACGTTTTTAAAGTTTAATAATTCAGAAACTAAACGACTGATTTCGTTTTGATTTTGTATTTTGCCAATTAAAATTACATATTCAAATTGATGTAAAAATTTATATATCTTTCAATTCAAAATTTTTCGACTATTAATAAGTAAAATAATAAATGATTATTAAAAATTATTTTTTTGCATAGAATTATCTTAGGAAAAACGAATTTCAAAATTTAGTGTAAACGAATTTTAAAGTTTTTTAAATGTTTCCGAGATGTATCGAAAAACGCAAAAAGTAAAATTAGCATTGAGATGTCCAAATTTTGATCATTTTCCTATTGGGGCCATATTTTGCAGTTTGTGGCTACCCTCTTTCCATATTTTGAGGGTCAAGAATCCAAATCTGTTGGAAAAAAAAAGTTTTTTTTTCAGAGAAAGTACATTTTTATATCTGATTTCGTAACTTAAAATATAGTAAGTGCTAATTAAACTAAACTCAGTGGCGTGACAGCCCATAGAGGGCCAAGGCCTACTGTGCCCGTAAGTGCTAATTAATTAGCATATTTAAGGTTAGGCCTTCTAACCATTCAGATAGAGTCCTACTATGTGATAATCTGATCATTAGATCAAAAGTTATTCAGGATAATTTGCACTAGTAACAATGAAAAAAAGATGGAGCATCCAAAATTTTCTATAATTATAACAGTTTCATATAACATTCCTGGTAATCAGAAAAATAACGAAGCTTTTTCATTTTTACGTTATTAATTTCCGGGAAAATTGATTCGTGTTTATATATTTTCTTCCTTGATTCCCTTTCTTTCTATATTTATTTGTGAAACTTCTTATAAGCAAAAATATATATATTATAACAGTTAATAATTCCTGGTAATCAGAATAGTTGCAGAGCAATTTCACTTTTATCTTTTTATTTTCTGGGAAAAGTAATCGTTCTTATTAAGTCTTATTTGCTATTTTTTATGGTCTTTTTTACTATTTTCCTGTTGTTTTATTTTTTTTCCACTGTCTTACTCATTATTTTCTTATTATCTTAGTTATTGATTAAAGTCTTATTTATTATTTTTAGAGCTTAAATGAAGGATAATAAATATTTCATTTGTAAAGCCAAAATGATTATACAATTATGATTATACTTAACTATCACTTTTTTCCCTTATTATATTTTCTATATTTACTTGCGAAACTTCTTACAAGTTACTATATGATATAAAAGTTAATAATTCATGGTTGTCAGAATAGTAGCAAAGTTTCGTAACTAACTATACTACTAAAGATACTTGACTAACTTATCTTTACTCGCTTTTTTTAAGGGTGGTCAAACTTAACTACACTAGTAACTATGAAAAAAAGATGGAACGACCAAAATTATCTATAATTATAACAGTTTCGTGTAACCTTCTTGGTAGTCAGAAAAATAGAAAAGCTTCTTCATTTGTAGAGAAAAGTGATTCGTGACTATTACTTTTTTTTCTTACTTGTGACTCCCATATTAACCTGTGGTAGTCAAGTATACTTATTTCGAATAACTCATGGTAGCCACAATCACTTACTTCTACTCAAAACAATCTAGAAATTAAGCGGTTTTACTACCAATTTTTTGTTTTTTTCTGATATAAATTACACCCCTGTTTAATTTAGCCTGATTTGTTTTAAGAAAATAATAAACAATACAAGAAAAAGTGCGAATTACTTTCCTCGGTATCTTAAAAAAATAATTAAATGTTTAAATGTGATAAAAAGAAAAAGAACGAAGGAACGCATGAATGCATTCCATTATTGACCTGAGATAGGAAGGGGGGAGATAACCTGAAATCCCCCCTTTCTAAACTATAAGAAGTAAGCGGCAGGTCAGTTCAAGCATT